CCAGGCACCTGCTTAAGCTCCTCATCTTCAGATGCTCCATCACAAAGGCAGCCCCACCTCCAGGCAGGTCAATCACCTTGATGGGCCGAGGTACTCGCACCAGGCCTGTGGTCTGGAGGGCTTCCAGGCTCGCCATCTCTCCCTCAAACATCTGCCGGGCCTGCATCCAGAATAAGACCGTGATCTTCAGCTCCAACAGGGGCCTCTACTGCCCTGGACAGGAGCCACCACATGGGATCAAAAGCACCCAGGACCTTCAGTTACTGAAAACTAGCTGGAGAGCAAGACATCAGTTCCTCAGAGAGTAGGGTGCAAAGTGGCCCCTTTCAGATAGGAAGGGGCTGCAAGTCTGAGGCTGTGCCTGGGACTTGGGGTGGGCAGGATGCTGATGCCCCTGCCCCCAAGTGCTTGCTCTGAGAGGTGAGGAAGTACAGGGTCAGGGGCGGTGCTGCCGGTGCTGGGGGTACTGTGGGATACCGCAGGATGCTGCAGGGGGCCAGAGGGCCACGGGTACCATGCGGTGCCATGGAGGTTGTGAGGAGAACCTCAGGAGGTTCTGGGTGGTGCCATGGGGGGTGGCTATGGAAGTGCCAGGCGTGCCAGGAAGTACAATGGGGTGCCTCAGAGTGTGGCTTAGTGGAGGGTTTGGAGTTGGACCTGGGTCCCCTTTCAGGTTACCTGCCCACCTCACTACCTCAAGCAACCACAGCAGACTTGAGGAGAAGCATAGGGCGGCATGGGGCCGCATGCCAAAGTGACTGGGACACACATTTGGGGCAAGGGAAGGCAGGGCAGGGAGGTCAGCAGGGCCTGGCTCGGGTCCAGGGCCTGTCCCCAGAGATAAGCACCCAGCAGGGCCTGGGGGGTGGGAGGGATCCTCACACCCCACCCAGAAGACAAACAGCCTCCACTGGGACCCAAGAGCCGTCCTATTTCTAAAACATTTCCCACAAATACCCCAATTTTAAACTAGGTGAACTCTCACCTCAGGTACACTATTACTTCGTTAAAAGTGTGCTTATTAATATGGCTTGTCAACACCTCTGGCTCTAGAATTATGCCTCATGAGGCTAAAGCATCTACTTCCACACAGGCAAAGAATCCCACCCTTTAATTCAAAGTACTCAAGGGGAAAATGGGGCAAGTCGTCCCCCAAACTGCCAGCCCACACCTGGGATTGTGAAGCAAGGGGTGGCCAGTGTCAGTCAGGGAACATCCAGCAATCCCCCGCGATCCCCGGCCGCGCTCCCAGGGCAAGCGAGCCCCCAAACATACAGGGGCAGAGAAGACCTGAGCTTGGGACTGCTTGTGTCCGGAGGGCCTCACCCATCATCGGCCCACCTACTGTGTGCCAGCATCCAGGGCTTTAAGGGCAAATGGTGGGATCCCGGCCTGGCGGAGCATTCAGCCAGGAGGGTTCCAGAGCCTGCACGAACCCTGAACCGGAAACTGCTTCCCAGGAGGTGGGGCTTATTTGGAGGGCTTTGGGTTCTGAAATGAAGCTCCGGGACAATTCCCTAGACCAGCCCCAAGCCCTCATCCACCCCCGGTGGGTAGTGCTGCAAGGGGACAGGGAGGAGCCTCTCTGGGAGTCCTTCAGCCCATAGCCAGCAGCCCCCCCAACTCCTGCACAGGGGCCTGGCCCACAGGGCACGGGGGCCTCCGCGGAGTCCTCCACCAGGTCATCCTCAGCACCTAGGGTGCACTTACTAAGGCTAACTTTCTCCATTTGTGAAGAGTTAATATTTCCCATACACGGTATATTTAACAGCAAATTTTAAGCGGGCATTAACCAGCTCCAAACACCAGCACGGGCCTGTGAGTAGAGGGGCATGAGCCGGGCCCTTGCGAGATCCCGCCTCTTCCCACCTAGTGAGATGGAACCGCGCGCAGGGCTGGGTTAGAGGGAGCCCAGAGCGGGGCCCTGGGGAGAAGCAGACCCAGCCCAGGACTCCGAGCCTCGCTTCCCCCACGCTTGATGGGTACAGAAGTTAAAACAAACACAGGATTATTAATCCTGCAGCGGACGAAAGCCCCGATCCCTTAGAAAATGCTTGAGTCCTGCTGGCCCGCAGGAGCCAGCTCCGCGAGACCGCCGCCGACTCCCGGCAGGGACGCCCGGCCCCAACTGCGCCCCCTCCACCCCCACCCCTTCCGCTCTCCAGCCTCCGGCTCAGGCCGCGGGGCGTCGCTGGGGGCCGCACCTGCGTCCGGCGGTTGACCTTGACGAACACCGGGCCCGCGTCCGTGTCGTAGGCACGCCCCTCGCTGATGCAGCCGGCCCCGGGGCTCCCGAAAGCCCGCAGGGTCGCGGTGCGCAGCTCCGCGCGCAGCAGCTGCTCCATGGGGGCGGGGGGCGCGGGGGCCGGGGAAGGACAGGGACCGCGCAGACGGCGGCCGGGGCGGAGCCAGCCGCTGCCGAGGCCTCTGTCCGCGGGGGAGGCGCCGGGTCTGCGCGGCCTGCGGGCTCTGGGCCGTCCTCCCGGACGCGCCTGGCGTCAGGTCCCCGCGCTCCCCGCCCGCGCGCGCCGTGGAGGGACGGACCCGCCGGACGGCGAGGGCGGGCGGAGGGCTTCCACAGGCTGACAGGAGTGGGGGCGGTGCCCTCCGCCTGAGTGCGCCCAGGGCGCCCCCACAGTCCTCGGTGGGGCCCACCCGTGGGGCGCCCTGCCAGAGGTTCCACGACCCCTTGCTGGACGTCGGCGCAGGCCCCCAGCGGGACTCCGGACAGAGTTTAGGATAGAGCCCGCTGTCCCCGGGACCCAGGTCACGGGCCTAGCTAGATCTCACACTGTCCAGTCAAGGCTGGGGGTCTTGACCACGTCCTCGCCTGGCCCCAGACACTGCCCAGTGAAACCCATTGCTGGTGTTGGGCTTGTTCCTCAAGGCACTTGGTGGCCATCAGAGATAGAGGCCGCTCTGGGGGTTCTGATACCAATCGGCTGACCCCACCCAGAATGGGACCCCTGATAAGAGACCTGCTGCCCTCAAAGGGAACTTCAAAACACACATGCCCAGGGCATCTGGGTGGCTCAGTGGGTGAAGCGTGTGCCTTCAGCTCAGGTCATGATCTCTGGGTCCTAGGATAGAGCCCCCCTGTCGGGCTCCCTGCTCAGTGGGGAGCTGCTTCACCCTCTCCCTCTGCCACTCCCCCTGCTTGGGCTTTCTCTCTCTGTCGCTGTCAAATAAATAAAATCTTTAAAAAAAATACACACGCCTGGGGCGCCTGGGTGGGTCAGTCGGTTAAGCGTCTGCCTTCGGCTCAGGTCATGATCCCAGGGTCCTGGGATCGAGCCCCACATCGGGCTCCCTGCTCAGCGGGGAGCCTGCTTCTCTCTCTGCCTCTGCCTGCCTGCCTGCCTACTTGTGCTCTCTCTCTCTCTCTCTCTCTCTCTGTCAAATAAATAAATAAAATCTTAAAAAAAAATTGGCCAAGTGATCGTTTTAAAAAAAAAAATACACACGCCCATGTGCACACAGGCATGCACACAGGCATGCACACACCTATGCACACACATGCGCAAGGTGATCGCAGAACAGCAGGTGGGATGGGAGAGAAGGTGTGGCCATCTGTGGAAAAGGCATCTGCCCCTCCCTGCCTTCCTCTTCCTAGATTTTTTTCTCTCAGTCTGGTGAAGCCCACTTACCTATTGCATCTTGAGGAGGGATTCCTGACACGTAGATTTGAGCTCTTGAACATCTGCACGTCTTTAGTCTCAATTGACAGTTAGGCGGGGTATAGAATTCCAGGTTGGAAATGAGGTCCTGTTCTTTGATGAACAAGAGGGGCCCCTCCATTACTTTCCAGCTCATTTGGTATTGAGAAGTTTGAGGCCACTTTGATTCTTCCTCTTTGTGTGGAAACTGTTCTCTCTCTGGAGGCTTTTAGGATCCTCGCTGTGTCAGGATCTGACAATTTCCCAGGGAGGTGGCTGGGGTGAGTTTCCTGCCATCCCCAAGGCAGGTCAGATGAGCTGTTTCAGGATGGAACCTTGGTCCTTCTACCCTCTGAAGTTGTCTTCAGCTCTTTATGATTTCCTCCCTGTTCTCTCTATTCTCTTTTTCAGAATTACAAATATGTGCTCTAAAGTGGGTCCCAGGGGCGCCTGAGTGGCTCAGTCGGTTAAGCGTCTGCCTTCGGCTCAGGTCATGATCCCGGAGTCCTGGGATCAAGTCCCACATCAGGCTCTCTGCTCCGTGGGGGGGTCTGTTTCTCCTTCTGCCGCTCCCCCTACTTGTGCTCTCTGTCAAATAAATAAAATCTTTTTAAAAAAATAATAAATAGGGCGCCTGGGTGGCTCAGTTGGTTGAGCGACTGCCTTCGGCTCAGGTCATGATCCTGGAGTCTGGGGATCGAGTCCCACATCGGGCTCCCTGCTCAGCGGGGAGTCGGCTTCTCCCTCTGACCCTCTTCCCTCTCGTGCTCTCTCTCTCATTCTCTCTCTCAAATAAATAAATAAAATCTTTTTAAAAAATAATAATAATAAATAAATAACGTGGGTCCCAAAGCTGCCAGAGTTAGGCACCCATGAGCCTCCAGGCACCCTGGAGAGACTCTGGTCTTCACTGAGCCTCATCCTGGGCCATGGGCATGGTTTGCCCAAGCAGGGTCTGAATGTGGCAGGTGGCAGCCAGACAGTGGCACAGCATCTTACTGCTCCTGAAACCCAGGCACTTGGGGTCCCTTGCCAGACCTCCCAGCTCCCATCTGAGCAGCCAAATCCTCAGTGTTAAGACACATGCAAAAGAGTGCACTGTGACTTTGCAAACTGGTCCCATCCTCCTCTCGAAGCTGCATTTGAGTTTCGGTTTGGTCAGAAGCTCAGTTGGGAGAGATGTGATCAGGGACATCCAAGCAGCCCCCTGAGCTGAGTCCCCTTTCTCCCCACAGCCAGTCTCCTGGTTCTCCTGGCTCTCCAAGAACCAGAATGAAGGCTGCAAAAGTGCAGAAGGCATCTCTCAGCCCCAGCTGTAATCCAAACTCTGAGAGCTGTGGTAGTTCTTGGGGCTCAGACGTGGATCTGAGGGGTGGGACAGACTGAGATAATGATGGGGTCGTGTGCATACAGGGGACTGCCCTGC